CTACTACGATTACTTCTACTACGACTACCACTACGATTACTAGTACGGCTACTACTACTACTACTACTACTACCACTACTACTACTACTACTACTACTACTACTACTACTACAACTACAACAACTACTACTACTACTACTACTACTACTACTACGACTACTGCTACTACTGCTACTACTGCTACTACTACTGCTACGTACTACTAGCACTGCTAAACCGTTTGAATCTCTTTCTCGTGATGCCCGTCGGTTGGAGCGAAGCCACAATGGCTCACGAGCAGCAGATGCCTAAGTATAATGCGAATCTCCTTAGTGAACCTCAAACGCAAGGACCCACAAACCGTTTCCCCGATGGTCTGGAGGGCGCACATGGTAAACGCAACGACTTCTGCAGTTGCAGGCGCTCGCGTGTCACGTAGGATTAAGCCCGCAACATGGTGAGCACTTAAAGTATATCTAGATTTAGCTTGGGCCCAATCTGTACGGCATGGCTCCTAGGCCCGAGCCCAAATTAAGACGGGCTTCGTACCAAACCGGATCCAAACCATTCAGCACTGCCCGATGTGTCTCAATCGAGACGCCGTCAGAGACTCAAACCCACTGCGCTTATAACTTATGGGTTCTGACATGGAGTGCGGCCTAGGATCCTGATTTAACGGTTTATCTTGGTGTCAAGTGGCAGCCCGGTGAGGACGGCACAGCGGTTCGAGAAGTTCAAGAGCTGATGGAAGAGAGTCATCCCACTAGTCATCTCCTCTCGCGGACATAGTCGTGACGGTATGTGTCGGCATTCACATATGTACAGACACACAGACGTACGTACATGCATACATATACAGGACTACACACGTACACATGTACGCATTGCTCAACTCGACAACAGTACAAGTTCTTTCGAAAGCAACAGCACCAGTCGCGGCAACAGCCGTGGCAGCGGAGAAGAGTTTGTCCCCGTCGAGCCCAGGCCTTGAGGGCTCCCTCTGCCGATGAGCTTCAGTTTCTGTTTTTTTTTACAAGGTTCGAGTTCAAGGGTCCGGGAAAAGGATCCTACTCCGAGGTTTTAGTTAGGTAATTCTTTTGTGCTCTTTGTCCAAGTTTGAACCTAGTGCTGCAGAGTCGGGTCTACAGATCTTGTAGCTCAGCCCGTTACAAGCTACACCGTTACACTACCTACAAGTTGCACTCTGATGTCCACAAACTCGATATAGAGGTACACGAGTCAACTTGTGATTCTGTCTAAGCATTGAGCTATGGCTGCAACGTCTCCTCGGCGCTCAGCTTCCACAGGTGCAGGGGGTCCAATTGCATCAGTGGGGCCACTTTGATGGAGTATGCGTGCACCTCTGAGGACGCGTGATGCTGGCACACGTACATCATCTAAGTTAACCTGTGCATGGTGGATGCGAGGATTCCACGAGCCGTATTCCGCAGCGATCAAAGCCACTGCTGCTTCACCACATGGGAAAGGGCATGCCGGCTTTTCGGAACACTGCTCTGCGACTTGCGCAGCGTCTGCCGCTTGTTCGGTACACAACTTTACCCGAAGCTCATTTCTAGTACTGCTTCCGTGTATAGAAACAACACTCACTAAACCCTAAACCCCGAACCCTTTGTTCATCAACATAACACAATTGCAAGGCTAGTCATCGAGCCCTGGCACGCAGTGAGCTCCAATGTGGATGGCAGCCCCCAGAAATGTGAAGCCGGCGATGACAATGTGGAAGTTGATCGGATCCTCGTGACTAAACCAACCGAACCAGGCACGTGAAAAACAGCCAGTCAACTCACAAAGTCAGTGCGTTTCCCCTAAGGTAGAGAAGCAAAGACTTAACACCGGGTGGTCATCCCAGACCGGACATGACCACGGTACAGCTAAGATCTAAACAGAAGCTTAACAGCTCTTTGGGCTTTCAGCTTAACCTTCCGGGATGACCAGTTGTGGTCAGGGTTCCGGATTCAGAAGGGATTTGAATATCAGGTCGGCGGCAAGCCCAAGTTGCTTGTGCTGCCGACTGTATAGGTGTTCACCTGTATGCTCCTGAGATCGTCCTTCATGAGTCCCTCAAACGTGTTGCAGTCTCAACGTTGGCCAGCAAAACTGGCACTCACGGTGTCTCGGACACAGACTGTGACACAGGATAAAACCCTCGAGCACCTACAGCATGATTAAACCTAAAAGCACTACGCGCCAAACCGCCTTCGCCCCCCAAATCGCCACTGAAGCTCTGGACCGCAAAGCCGGAACCATAAATCCCTGAAGCCGCGAACCTCCTACTCCCCAGACCCTCAGTTCGCGATTCAGGGAGAGCAGCATGCATAATCCATCATAGTCCATTCTCACTCATTTTGAGGGCCATCCGCTTCAGGATGTCCCGCGCGTCTGCTTTGCAGCGAGGCGGCATCGATTGGAATCCATTCTCGCGATGAACCCACACCCCTTGCGCAACGGACGTCGGAAAGTCTTTTGGGTTCTTGGTCGTTAGGGGTGGGTTGAAGGTTCGGAGTCCTGGGCACAAGCAAGAATCGGGAAGTGCACCTCCAGCTCGGCTAGCAACCTTTTCAATATATACATATATATATATATATACAGCCAACATATGAACCCGTACACCAAACCAAGCTCAGGCCCTGCTGAGGCTGGTTGGTGTTTCTCTTAATGTACTATTGCATGCACCCAGTGCCTGAAAACCCACGAAATTTACGAAAACTTGCTGATTGAAATCTTACGGCAATTAATTTAAAAGATCCGCAGAAGGCGGCGCACGCCTTGTAGCCGTTTGCAAGCTCTTCAAAGTGGGCAGCACCAGCATTGCAAAGTTCCTGAAGTTTCTCGGCTGTTTGATGCAAGTCGCCCCGACAAGTCCAATCGGAAATGTGGCTAGATTAGTCCTAGAGCCAAAATCCAAAACAACACTTGCTGCCCTAGATCCTGACGCCCAAGCACTGGCACTCTCTGCATCTAAGGGTACCGTCACCACAGTGGAGATGTGCTCGGCTTGTTTTCATACATTGCGTGGAATCTCTTGTCGTTGGCGAGCACCACTAGTACAAGCTACGTCGTCGCCACAGTTGAGAGGAGTAAGTCGTGTGGAGAACCCAGTTAAATTTTGACAAAGGTTTCGAATTCACTGATTCAACACCTATGTGAAGCGCGAAAGCCATAATAGGCGCATTACCGAATCACGACAATTATTGCAAGAGGCAGCCATGATCTTAGTGGCGTCGTGTCGTCGTGGCACTGGCACTAGCAACAGCATTGGATGAGTAGTAGCAGTCGTCGTCTGTTTGATGTTGCTGCTGCAGTAGACCGGTGGCAGTTAGTATTGCGGTATTGCGAGCTGGGGAAGAACAACCACCTTTGTCAGTACACACCATTGTCCACAAGAAATTTGGAACGGAGAATACAGGTTAAGTCCAAGCTGCAAGTCCATACTGTAACCACCGCCCTGGCACGCAGTGCAGAAAGGGCTTGCTTTGGCGTCTTGCCATGAAGGTGCACAGTTGAACACATCCCAGTAACTAAAGCACAAGAGTTGCAATTTCACAGGCTCTGTCTGTCTGTCTGTCTGTCTGTCTGTCTGTCTGTCTGTCTGCATCAATAATCACAGCATGCTCAAACAGGCAGTGTAGATATATTTATGTGTGTGTGTACGTGTACATAGTGCGCATGCACACACACACATACATATGTATGTATGTATGTATGTATGTATGTATGTATGTATGTATGTATGTATAACATATATATATATATATAATATGTGTTGTATGGCATTGCGGTGTGCTGTTTTATATTATTTGTCTTTTTACTAATGAGAACATTACGTCTACAATAAATACTGAAAATATAAATAAGCATATAATAGTATGAATATGAATGATAAATACAACTTTACATACTATTCCTGATAATGTTAATATTAATGATATGATAGTAATATATACACGTTTGTGCATGCTTGTCTGTATCCCGGGTGAACAACTTGTGGTAAGCATGAGAAGCTCTGATTCCCTGCCAAGAATGCCACGTGACCTTCGCCAACCTGGGCTGCCGAAGCCCCACTCTCACAGAGTACGACTTCACTCCACATGAGTTCAGGCGGAGGCGACAGGCAGGTCTGGGGTTTCGCTCTGGCTATTCTGGTGCCCCTGAAAATCAGTTTCCGGAGATCCGGGAGGAATTTATGGCATCCGGGTAATCCACAACAATGACGGTCGCAGAGGATATCCCTCCCTGCAGGCATGCATCAATGGAAGATAAGATACTCATGTGTACATGTCCGTTGGTGCAACAACGAATTCTCATGCGCATTCCACTCGTGTCGAATCGTTGCAGAACGTCGCACCCGTTTCTGACGATCGCCTTGCAATGCAGAAAGGGCTCATAGCCATGAGGCCTGGGCCTCTAATATTCGCTTTCTGATGGGCCCCCTTTGAAGTGCAAAAAACCCTCGGCAGAGCAAAGCTATGCTTTAGGCAGGCCCTTTCCAAAGCCCACGTGCAGGATACAGATACATGTGACGAATGGCATAACCTGCACATGGAAAGATGCGAAGATACAGTAGCTATCATCGCCTGCGTCAGAAATATCAATGCTCAAAGCAGCCCTCGAACACGGCGAAGCATTGATATAAACATATGCAACAACGCTTTTGGTTTTAGTCCCTATGCTTGCTGCTTCTTGAGGCGATCTTTAAACATCTTAGGTTCAGAGGATACATGCTTGCCAAGGCTCGGATATGCCCAAGAGCCCTGGAAGCCTCGGACTCCGAAAATCCAACGTAGGTTTCTTGGGGATCTGACCTTCATGCGGAGTTTTGGATAGTTGGTGGATTGTCGAGGTTTCCTTGCCTTGTGAGATCTGATTCCTCCGATGACCTTGGCTGCCAAGAACCTTGGCTCGATGCCTTGAGGATCCAAAACACGAAGCCGAAGCCTGCTGCCGTGCAAAACTCCTTCTCGGAAACACTGTGATATGTAAAGCCTGCGTCTGCAAGCCCAGTCTTCGCTCTGGTGCTTCGAGCAGAGACGAGGAGCCTCCATTAAGATTGGAGACAAAGCCAATGAAGAAGACGAGCACGTTCAACACACCATACCTGGAGATCCGGAGTTTTGGATGTCGGGGAGGAGTGTCTGGTCCTTACGGCTGGGCGGATTCATGCTTGCAAGAGTCGCGAGTGCCTCTGATATGCAGGGACGGCAGGAGGGAGATGGCACAAACTGAACGGGCACTGCTTTCGCGTAGGTTCGCACTTTAGGTGTGCAGCTGCAGCAGGAAATACAATCGTGCTTGTCGCGCAAAGGTTTGCTGTCATCACCATGGTAATCAATCTATTTCCCGTCCAGCCGGCCACCATGTTATGGGAAACAAAATCAGGCCTTTACCAGCCTGTGTTCCAGCCACATGTTTTCTCCTTGCCGCAGCAAAGGTAAGAATTTTTGCCTGCTTGAGCTGAGAGCAAGTAGGACTATTTGCAGAGAACTCGACATCACGATTCGCGCGCAAGCATCGCAACGATGAAGGAACTGTGCAACACAAGCCCGGTCAAGCCAGGCTGCAGCAGCGTAGTTAGGCGCTGCTCACCGAGTCCGCATCGGCGGAAGCAGCGATTCAGGGACTGTGCCCACGTCATTTTCTCCTGGGGACTTTTTGATTCTTCAAGTCGGAGGGCCTGAACCATGCACATCATGCGGTGCTGAATTCGGGCCGTCCTCGGGCATCGCCATCTCTGCGGCCTGAAGGAAGCCAACAGGAAATCGTATGTTCACGAAACAACCACCGGTCATCATTGATGCTTTCGTTGGGATCGTCATAAGCACAACTACTACTGCTACTGCTACTAAACTACTACTACTATACTACTACTACTACTACTACTACTACTGCTACTACTAATCCCTTCCCCCTAATATTAAAAGGGGGGGCCCCCCCCCCCCAATAGATATTCAAAATATATTTTTATAAT